GATCGCAAACGACGCACACGACCACACCCATGCACCACATACACCCAGTCACGATGCTGGGCACGTCCTACCACTCGCCTTTCAATGCGGCTGACCAGTCTGACTCGCAGCACGACCCATCAGCGACGATGAGCAGCAACGGCTTTGCAGACGCGCAAGCACTCCCTCTCGACGACCGAGCACACCCCTCCTCGTTCGGCTTCAACACAAGCACCAGCAATACAACGCAGCCGCCAGCGCCAGCGCAAGGCTCCTCTACTTTGGCCCGGGCCAATTCCCGCCTAGATGCAGTGGCCAAACTTCGAAGGGCTGCCAGTCAGCGTGAAATGCGACGAACACCGACACCGCGAGCTGTAACTCCAACAGCCTCAGCCGAGAATGATGGTGCTCAGCTCCTTGCTACGGATCCGAACTGTGCGGGAGCTGCTAAAGCCCAGTCTGTCTCCCCCTTCTCCCCCGTCCTCGAGCCTTCCTTGCATGCGGCCGATGCCTCCTTTCTTTCCATGGCCGAGGCTGATCAGGACACCCCGTCGACAACAGTGGACGAAGCTCAGGCACTGTTTGTTGCCCCCACCGCAGCGTCGCTCCTTCGGCCTCCTTCACCGCAAAGGGGACGTCTGAGCCCGTCCGAGGTGCCGTCTTTGATGCGCTCCCGATCCAATCGCTCGCCCCTGCCAACGCTGGAACAGCTTCGCGCCAGGGTCTTGTTGGAGCGAGAAGCCGCCACTTCCAAGAGGAGCTCTGCTGCAGCCGCTGCTAGTGCTGCAGCTCGAGCGTATGCTTTGGAAAAGCTTCTGGGTAGCTCTTCGCGCGAAGGAAGGGCTTCACCTGCGAGTGATGGCGAAGGTGGGCTGGACGATGGCGCGCCACTGATATCTACACCTGGCAGCATCAGACGAATCAGCAAGGTGGTCAGCAGATCCAGCAGAGAAGCGCCCCTTGGTGGCGTACCATTGACTTTGAGGGACAGCTCTGGTGCAAGCTCTCTCCGACGCAGCAGGACCATTGGCGGGCTGTCTGCGGTAGCTGAAACCCAACGCAAGGTCGCGTTCTTGCAAGGCACAACTCTCTTGGAGCCTCCGGCAGGAGAGCCTCGCAGATCGAGTCGAAGGTTCGCACAGAATCCGCTGTCCCGCGGCTCCACCTCGCCCCCAACCTCACCACCTCGCGGCGGCCTCAGGCCTACTACCACAACCATCGCAGAGGTTGTCGAGCCAGCGAATGATGAACATCAGACTGCGCCCAGCACGTCTGGCTTGGAACGCAAAGCCAGTCAGCGACAACTGGCCCGCGCCCAACTCATGCGCAAATTGTCGAATCGAAGTCAAGCGGCTGGACGCGCAGCTGCGGGCAGTGCTCAATCGACAAGGAGTGCTGCATCGACGTCTCCGCTACCCCCGCTGCAGCTGCTGCAGGGCAGCAATCGCGCTGCTGTGGACTCCGAGCCCCCAAGTGCTGGAGGCGGCCAGTGGTTGAATGCGACGGAACAAACCCTGCAACACAATTCAGGTCATCGCGAGGCATTGCCCGCAGCTTCTCCTACATCTGCTCTAGGCACTGGGCGTAGCGTGTACAGCGGCTTTGCTCTGTCACCAAACACTTTGGCTGTACCTGGCACGCCAGCAAGGACCTACGATGCGTCGCTCATGCCCTCGAATGGCAGGTTGCCGATGCTGCACCCTTCACACAGCAATGTGTCGCTCATCGCAGACGAGTCCGAACGCAGCTTTGCGCATTCCGGCGTCTCTACCAGCGCCGCAAGCATGCTGCGCTTTAGAGCAGAAAGGGACCGTGCGTCAGCCGCGGATCTGGCAGACAGGCAAGACGCCTTTGAGTTGGATCATGAGCTCGGCAACGACTGGGGTCATCACGCGACGAACATGCTGAGCAAGCAAGGCAGTCTGCGCGCCGTACGTCGAGGTCGCCGGACTCTGGTCGACAGGGCTTCGGACGGTGACAGCGAAGGCGGCAGCCAGGGAGAGCAGACCAATGATGCTGCATCGAGCGATGACGCCGCGACGGATCTGTTGGACGAGTACAGCCGGTTTGACCAAGACTTGAAGGACGAGGAGGATGACGAGAGCGACTGCAGATCTGTTGCTGCGACCGCAATACAGTCTTCGAAAGCGTTGCAGCACGGCGGCGTGTCGACGCCAATGGTGCCCCAGGACGCCAACATTGATTGGGCAACGCCGTCACCGCTGGGTCGTCATTTGACTCGGGACCTCAGACCCGAGTCCAGCGCAAGCATTCCCCTCACGTTGAGCGCCTCTCACGAACAGACAGAGTTCCCACCAGACTCTCAGCAGCTTCCTGGCGTCGAGCAGGAGTGGCAGAACACCCACTCGCCGTGGCCTGTCAGCATCAGCGTGGCGAGTCAGGGTTCAGCCCCGCGAGAGAGTCTTCAAGATCAACGAGAGGGGAGCGACGCTGATCTCTTGAGTCAAGCAGTCGAATCTCTTCAGGCAAAGCGTGAGTGAGAGCGCGCGTGTCGGACCGTTTGCATGGGCGTGGCCGTACTGACGATGCGGACCGCGGCCCGCAGCAACGCAATTCGCAGGTAATG